TACTGCCTTGAGATCATAAGAGGAGCAGAAAATAAACGTGTCCTAGTTGAACTAAATTTTCCCTTGAGTCCAGTGCCATCTATGTTAACTTATTCATTAGCCATGATAGCTGACAGAAATATTATAAATATTAGATATTTGTAGTGGGGCTTTTACTACAAATTCTAGGTCGTCTTTGTTCTTTGTAGAAACTATTTCTAGTTTGGAGTTGAGAAGTTACTCAGATATAAAAGGGATCCATCTTTTACTTTATTTTTTTAATATATTCAGCCTGCCCGTGCAAAAATTCTTGGATAGTTTTTATTAATCTGCTTTTTCACTAAATAAAGAGTTGTCCAAGAATCCTCTTGTCCAAGTGTTTGGACATTCTGTTCAAGCACAAGCTTCTGTGGTTTAAAGAGCAACGTGGCTAAATGATTGTCACTATTTGTATTTAACCAACTCACTGCAAGAGTTTAGATTTGGTGCGCTGGCATGTGCAAATTTTTTTTGTTGTTATTCTTTATTCTGCAGATAACTAAGGTAAGCATCAACTTCTGCTTCAAAACTCTTGAAGTACTTGCTTGAGTATCTCTTAGATTGTTTTCACTATAGCTAAAGTTTATTTAAATAATGTGATCCATAAAATATGGTAGTCACCATGGTGATATATCATCCCTCTCACCTGTGAGAGTCTCCTCTGGCAAAGATGCTGATTTACTTTCCACCAGTGTTATGGTAGATATCCATCTTATGTGTGTTGGCTCAGCTTGCAATACAAAACACTCCTGTTGCAGTTAAATCACGCTTCAAAGGTTCTGCGCTTGATGGAATGGGCAAGTAATTTGCTTAGAGTTTAAAAATATAAAAGCATGCATCTGGCATTCTTGGCTGTGTAAAGTTGATAGCAACCACAAGTGCTATGGGCAGCACAAAGGCATTAGAGGAGCTTTTAGTTACTCTCAGTCCTGCTGCTGTGGGAGTTTGCATGTTAATAATGCTTTGGGGGGGGGAGGAGGGGGGACTGCAGCTCTATCGGGTATTCTGCATTCAGTGTGTACAGCAAGCTGTCTGTTGGTATGAAAATGAGCAGGGTAGGTTTAAAGTGACTGATGCCATCGTGAACTGGTATTAGGTTGTGTCAAGTAAAAGCACATTCCTCTTCTCTGTCAGCAGTAAATGTTGAGCTTGTTTTAACTACGTGAGCAAAGGTAGTTATTACATTTCTTTTCTCTGTTCTTGTTTCTTTCTCTGCTGAATCCACACAACTACAGCTCTGAGCTAAGGGCTGTAAAGGGGGTGTGCTTCTCCTCCTTTGATGGCATGTGACCTTTAATTCCATGGTAGCATGTTCTTTAGGGGGGTGGATGTAGGGTTTAGGTTAAATGATGTCCTGACTGCTATACGTGTTTTACTAAATTGCAAGAGCAATCTTGTTAGAACTGCAATAAACTTGTAAAAGGGTACAAAAGCAAAGGACAAGTTATTAGCTAATACTCCTAATTCCAACATAGGTCTGTCAGTAGTTAGTTTAAGCTATTTACAGGGCCCATAAGGGACTTGAGATCAGTTGCTGTGATAAGGGGTTCTAGTTTTCCAGCCTTCTGAAGAATTCAATTCCAGTAATCCTCTCTTTCTTCCTTCCCCTGAAGGTCATCACATTCCACTTTCCTAGATTAAAGGATGTTACCAGAACTGTTGCACAACTCCTGTGCAAGAACAATTGGCAAGGGTGGTGTCTGAGTAGGCCTTCTCTGAGTGATCTGAAAATGAAGCTGTGCTGGAACTGCCAGGAAAGCCAGCTGCTGGAGGAGTGTTGCAGGCCTGGCAGTCTTTCTAGGCCTTCAGATGAGTAGATGAGGACAGAGCTCTGAGCTTTAGAAAACATCTGGGCTGGGAAGGGATTTTTGAAGATCTGTATGAATACCTGAATGTGATTTGGGTAGGTGTGGAATTAGCAACACCGGTACCTGGTCACTGCTGTCTCCAAGCAATGCGTGCTTCAGCTTTGTGCTCATGGAGCCCATGGCAAAAACTGTAGAAGCAGGTAAGAGCCTGCTACACCAGTGGGGCTGAATCCCAGCTCATATTAACAAAGATTAAGACTGAGTGTATGCTTCTTGCTTTATACTGTAAACTGTACTCAAAATAACACTTGATATTCCTCTTACAATAGTAGAATCCTTAGAGTTGGAAGGGACCTTTAAAGGTCATTTAGTTCAGCTCCTCTGCAGTGAACAGGGATGTGCACAACTACATCAGGTTGCACACGGCATGGTCCAGCCTCACCTTGAAAGCTTCCAGGGACACGGGGCATCAACCACATCTCTGGGCAGCCTGTTCCAGTGCCTCGCTGTAAAAGACTTCAAGTGCAGAATTTTGTATTGGTGTAGAAGACTAAGCTCAATGATGTGCAGAGGAGAAGAGCTGCATATGGTGCAGGAAGAAGGGAAGCTAGAGGAACCTCTGCCAGGTTCTTGTTCATGCTGTCTGCACACTTGACTTCGTTCACCACAACTGCCATTCTTTCTCAGACAGTGGTAATGATGCATGGTTGGTACTGAGAAGTCACCATTGGATATACTCTTATGATCTCAGTAATTTTGTTGTGTTTGTGGCAACAAGTTTTTAGAGAGAGAATCAATTAAGCTGACAGCTCTGGAGCAGAGTAAAAGCTGACAAGCTTCTCAGGCCACAGGCCTTTGAAGAATGCAGCTGTCTTCCAAGTTTGTCTGTTGCTTTAGTAGTTGCTTATGTCTCTGTAGAGAGCTGTGCATAAAACTCGTATCTCAAAGCACTCTTCAGTATGTAAGGACAAATCTAGAATCATTAACTCATTTTATGAGAGTTTATGGAAGACTGTGGAGCAATTGCCAACTACAAATTAAGGTTGCTTTTTCATCTTTAGCCTGGAAGGTTCCTGGCAATTTGGAAAACTATGAAGGTGTGGAAGTTTCATCTTCTGCTTAGCTGTACTGTAAACTCCGTGCTGTGTGGTATGGGAGAATCTGCATTCTTGGCTGTGTAAGAGGGGCAGATCGCAGCAGTTACATCCAGCAGTGTAAGTTATCTCAGTGCTCCTGCAGCCGTGAAATTTCATGTTTAATTTGATAGAATTACTGACATGAAATGTTGTCAAAAGTTGTGCATTTCTGTACAGGGACAAGCAGATACATCTTTCTCAGGAGATAATGTGTAGCTTTTTTTTTTTTTTTTTTTCCTTGTATATAGGTTGTTCTTCTAAGCTGGCCTTAGCCATTTGTGGTTTTATTGTTTGCCTGAACGTTAGAAATGCAAGCAATGCCATTTAGCCCACTATCTCTTGTCTCTGGACTAGGCCTAGTTTGATTCTTTGTTTGTGGGATTTTTTGTTTTAGGGTTTTGTGAGATTTAACAAATACAACAAAACATTGCAGGTTGGGGTATCTGAATAACCAAGTCATTAGTTTGGAAACATAGGAAGAAGCTGAATCTCAGCTAGATCAGCAAAGATCAGGGTCTGATCTAATGTGAGCCAGTTACAAAGTAAGTTTCATAAACGCAAGAAGCATTTTAATGAAGTCTTGCTGGTTTGGGGTGAAGAAGGGAAGAAAAATTAAGCTCCTTTGGAAACTCTAGGGGATAAAAGATTAAGAAAGCAAGCTGTTAATGGAGGAGAAGGGAAGTTTTAAATGGCAGCAAATACAATTAAAAGTACCAGCTCCTGCCCACAAATAACAGACCAAGTTTTGCAAACTCAACAGGTTTCATTCCTTTTTGTTACATTTCTTTGATGGGATTTTGCCTTTGATTCTGTGGTGGTGGGTGGAATGTCTGATACTCTTGGCTACAAATACTGTATAGGTTCTTAAAACTGCATTTGTTCTGGCATAGGAGCTTAGCTGTGTGGGTGTGAATGTTTCGTTGAGGCTTGGTGTTTGTTTTGGGTGATCACCTTATGTTATCTACAGCTTTAAAGGGGGGCTATTGATATCTAGCAGCCAACTTCACTGTGGTATACATCAGCACTGCTGTAGATTTAGTGCTTAAGTATATGAATTACTCTTTTGGTGAAGGTAATGTCTAGATGATCAATTATCCAAAAAATATACTGCGTGGACCTGAGACAAGCAACTATAAATGTTACCTATTGTTGTCTTATCAATGGCATAGTGTTTAAACTTTTAAGCACATTAGAATACTAGCTAATCAGAAATGTATTATTGTCAACTGCTTAGGAAAGATGGTGCAGATCTTTTCCTGGGCAATACAGAAAAGTAATACACTGTGCTGGGTTAGAATTTAGCTGATAAATAGGTTATTCTATGCATATCTGAGTATCTGGGATATTTGAATTTTACTAGCAGTCTGATGTCCTGTGTGCAAATTTTGCCAGGTGTCCAAAAAAAATCAATTCAGAATTGGCTGATCACATGATAAATTGGCTGCTGCTGCTTGTGCATAATGAGCTGGATTATCAGAGGTAATCTGTTTAATTTAAGCCCAGCTTGCTGTCAGTGAGAAAGGTTACGGAGCAGCCGCTTGATCAGTTCAGCAGGCAGATCTGAGAGGAATGTCGTCATTCCGTCAATACAGACAGGCAGGAAAATATATGGTGAGAAGCCCCAGCTGATCAATATAATGATACCAATATTCGTTAGCTATTCAAACTATAAACCAACCATTCTTTAGCAGGCAGGTATCAGTGAATTTTGAACAAACTTTGCAGCTTGTTTAAAAGCAGCTTATTGTACTGTTTTGATACTCTTTTGATACATTTCAGGTATGGAAAAATTAGGGGGGGTAGATTAGACAGTTATGCTTGTTCTTCTCCATTCAGTAACAGCCTTATCAGAAAATGAGAAACTAATCTTGATTAAAAGAGAAAGAAGAGACTGAATTCTAGTTTGTGTTTAATTTTAACACTTCTGTAAGCACAAGTTTTGCATTTGTAGTCTGTACCTAAGTGAGAAGAGATCTTGTGCTGCAGTTACACATGTGGTTTATGAATGTTGTTTCTATTGTCTTCATTTCTTTTCTAGGGAGAGAGTGTGTGCAGCAGCTAGCAGAGAACACAAGGTATTTCAGGAGACGACTGAAAGAGATGGGCTTTATCATCTATGGAAATGAAGATTCCCCTGTTGTGCCTCTGATGCTGTACATGCCAGCAAAAATTGGGTAGGTTTAACAGATTTTTTTTTTTGCCCATCTGCTTTAAAGTTAGCATGCTACAAGAGTATTAAGACTTTTCTAAATGTAAAGAAAGACTGTTTTGAAACATGGCATGTAGTGGCAAAGCTTGTTCTTATTCACATATAGAGATTTTTGCATCTTTCTTAAAAATGTTTGGCATTAGATTAGATGGTTTTTTGGTGGGTTTTTTTTTTGTTTGTTTTTTGTTTTTTGTTTTTTTTTTTTCAATTTGAGTGTTCCCATGATAAGCACTTCAAAAAGCAGTACATCCTGTGGCTCTGTAATGTGCCTCAATTGAATTTAATTGGTAGAAACAAACAATTTTGAAATAGCAGAAGCATTTGCTTTGGGATATTGCAGCAGGGGGCATTCCTCATATAGTCAAACTTCTGAGCCTTAGTTCCTGTTTCCTATCTGAAGGATTTTCAGGCTTAGGTTACAAATCCATTTAGAAAGAGCCTGCCAAAAGACCAGCCTCTGCCACATATAATCTTTCAGCTTTGTTAGAACTTAATACAGTGAAAGCTTTTGAGGAAGACCACCTTGGGATTGAGTTAAAGAGAGCCTTTGTAATTAGATGTTCTACCTCCCTGAGAAAGAACTGGAAGCTCCAACTTGTGGTGTTAAAGGCTTGTTTAACGAAGGCATTTATAGGTAAACATACTAAGACCTTTGTGCTGTCACTGCTCTGTCTCTAAGGTGTCATTCTGACCAATTTTCCTTGATTTATTTTTTTATTTATTTATTTATTTTGGCAGTGCATTTGGGCGTGAGATGCTAAAGCGGAACATTGGTGTTGTGGTTGTGGGCTTCCCTGCAACTCCCATCATCGAGTCCAGAGCCAGATTCTGTTTGTCTGCAGCTCATACCAAAGAGATGCTTGATACGGTAAGTGTCTCATCTTGTCTCTGTCTTGCTCGTGTCTTCTGTAAACAGAGATAACAATTCTAGTTTTCCTGGGTTCTTTTTGTTGTGTTGGGTTTTTTTGTTTTTTTAAAGAATGGTTTGGTATACGATTTGTGTTTGGTATACAAATTAATTAAACCTGATGTTCAAAGTTGTCTGTAGTAAAGTGGACGCCATCTCCAACAAATCAGAACAGCCTTCTTCAGTAAATTTCAGGGACTTTTTCCCATTTCACATATGCAAGAGAGATGGTCTGATTCCCTTGAGATACTTTTTTTTCCTTTGTTAAATGGGAGCATAGTGACATTCTCAATTAGCTCTGTGAAAGATCATGGTTATTGGAAGAGGTGCTTGAGGAAAGACAAGAATATGATCAGAGGAACTGCAGGCTGGACAACCTCACCTTGATCCTTGGAAGGGTGATGAAGTAAAAAAATTCCTTGAAACTAAACTACTTCCAAGCCTATTACGGACAAGGTGGTTGGGAATAGTTATTGTAGAATTATGAAGGAGAACTTGTGCCCAGTGCTCAGGTATGATCAGGTGGAGACACTTTATAATGTGAACAGCAAATAGGAGTTGTAGTTTAAGCAAATCCTTACCAGCATATCAACAACAAAAAATGTAGTCTTAAGCCTTTAATCCTTAGCTGCCACACAGTTTCTACATCAGTAACGAAAAATGGCCCTTCTTGATTTTAGATTTGCTAGGAAGAGTAGTAAGGCAGTAGCATGTAGAGCTTGATAAGTGTATCAGGTGCAGCTCTGTACCAGTAGAACCACTTGCTTTATATCTGTGTTGCTGTACTTATCGCTTTCAAACTATTTCTGCCCTTTAAGACCTGAAGGATTCCACCCTGACACTCCAACAACCAGCTGTTAAAGGGGTTCCTTTCCCAGCTACTTGTCCTGTTACTTTTCCTGTAATTATGCTAAGTAAATTGTTTCTGTTCTAAATAATTCTGAAATGCTGTTTTTTGAGAGCTCTCTCCTTCTCTTTCTTTTCTCTATTGTAAAATCAGTAATACTAGACTTAAATTACTTGGAGCATAGCATTAGAAATGAGTGCATTGAAACAAATGGGGGAGCAATAGCTTCTGATCGGGTAGACACAGGAGAATGAATGGGAAATAGGTGGGAGGAGGGGAAAAAAGAAAATGTAAGTCTCTGAAATCGTATTCCTGCACGGTGAGCTGCAACTTAAACTGAGCGAACTTGATGTGCTGATGCTATCTGAGCAATCACACCATCTTGCTGTCTGCTACTCTGTCTTCTCCTGGTGACTAACTGGCTGGTTTCACAGGGTATTTATAGGCACTATACTTGCTCTCTTCTAAATCCAATCTGCAATTTTTATTACTCTGCTTAAAAAAGCGCTCTTTTCTTATCAGTCTACTTACACGTCTTCTAGCTTTCCAGAAAGTTTTGTGTGTTTAGCTCTGAGGACTCACTTCTGAAGTATACATCTAGGTGCTAAATGCTCCAAACCAAGGAAAATGCTTGTTTAATATATTGGGGTTTGTCTGCCTAAGAAAATTAATCCAGGACAAAATGTATGAATTTTGAAGTGAATGAAGAAATCTTGATTTTTATCTTGGTGTGTGAAGGCTTTGTTCCAAGTTGGCATGAAGTGCTTCGGAGTTTAAAGTGACTGCATGCCCTGAACCCAGAACAATGGCAAGTGGAGTTAATAAGTAGCAAGTCTTTGTGTCAGTGACTGTGTTCTGCTTTTCTGCTGACACAGTGAAACAGAATCAGCTTCAGGCAGCTAGTAATTAAGACCATGGTCAGATGGGTTCCCTCTGCTGAACTGTGGCAACGATATCCAAGAGGAAAATAAATGAAGTGAGTAGAAGTGGAGAGAGCTGGCACAGTTTCCACAAGTCAGTGGTACAGAGAACTTGGTAGCCCATCCATGTGTGCATGGATACTAATGCTGTTATTGTGGCATTTTTTTTGTAAATAAAATTAATCTGAGTACAGAGCAAGGGGAGGAGAAGTTTATCTTATACTTGTATAAGATATATACTTGTATACTTGATATTTGTAATGCTTCCTTGTTCTTATTAAATAAAACCATGTGATGGGGAACAGTTCTCAGTTACAATTTTAACCATTTTATGTAAATAAAACTTTCCTGCCTGAAAATATTTGGCTCAGGATCAGAGTGAGGTCCTTCATAACCTGCATCCCTGTGGGTTGGTGCTTTCTTTTTAGTGATGAATAATATATATTACACTCTTGAAATCAGAGTTCACCAATGCCATTTCTTTTGTAGTCTTCGTTAGTCACATGGTCCTTTTTTGTTTTAAATTAATAAAATCCTAAATCTGCATTCAAGAATAACAGTTAACAGACTCTTTCAACAGAAATTAACCTTAAATTGTTTCCATATGGGGTCTTTACTTTAAGCTCTGGCAAACTGTGCCCACGCTCTTGTTTGGTTTTGTTTTTATTGAGGTCTAACTTCTGGTCTTGTCATTCCCCCAGATTTTAGAATGGAGAGGTTCTTGCTGCCAGATATAACAAGCATGAGGGGCCATTGTTTAAAGAAATAAGAACTTGGACTATTCATCCAGGAAGGAAAAGCATGTAGGGATATTAACCTCCATCTGCCAGCTATTCTCAAGAGATAGGCATTTGACCCAGAACATGTTAAAAGTAGAGTGTTGTTGTTGAATTAATGGCATTCTGAAAGAATGCTGAACGTACCTATCTGAACAAATCTAAAATGTAAGGGAGTGCAGAATGCCAGCCTTGGGAGTTCAGAAATCTCACTTAAGTTGGAAGTCATCTTCTGCACATATCTTTGTCACTCACCATGGATAAGATAGATAATTAGTATGACATACTGTTGCACATTTATCTTCAACAGCTGACTTATTTTTACCACCTTGTTCCAGGGATGGTCTCCAGAAAAATAGAAGCTTAAGGTCTGACTTCTAACAAATTCTACTGTGAGCCAGTGTCTTATCAAAGAGATTGCATCATTATAGTGGAGATTCAACTCTTTGAAAGGGTAGATAGCAGCAGGACAAGGGGAAATGGTTTGAAATTGAGGGAGGGAAGGTTTAGGTTGGATGTCAGGGGAAAGTTCTTTACAGAGAGAGTGATGAGGTGCTGGAGCAGCTGCCCAGAGAGGTTGTGGGTGCCCCATCCCTAGAGGTGTTCAAGGCCAGGTTGGATGGGGCCCTGGGCAGCCTGGTCTAGCATTAAGTGGGGAGATTGGTGGCCCTGCATGTGGCAGGGGCATTGGAGATTCATGATCATTGAGGTTCCTTCCAACCCTGGCCATTCTGTGATTATCTGAGCAGGGACTTTCCTCATTTCTTATGCTAGCAAGTGCTTGACTTCTGTAGAACTTCAAATGATTAGCATTCAGGTCATATGGTGAAAGATTTTGCAAGCTCATTAGCAGTGCTCTTGGCCACCCGTTGGCTAGGTGTCCCTCTATGGCTACAGTTAGAGAAAGCTTTTTTCCAGGTGGAAAAAAATGCTTGGGGTCCTATTCAGAATGGCTTTTCATTCCTTGACAAAAAATATCCCATACAATACTTAGCACATCTCTAATTGCACATGGGCAACTCAGTCTAATCAAATACAGATATTTTAAAATACACCAAGAAAAGCTGCTAGCATAAAATATGCTATTTTTCACTATCTTGTAATACAAAAATTATGGTATTTTAGTAGTAGATAGTATACCAACAAATACAGTATTTTCATACTGAACGATAGAAAAAGAGGCATCAAACCTCAAGTACGTTTTCCTGTTTCGGCTATCTTAACCCCCCCAGAAATGGAGGACTGCTTTTTCTCAACTGATCCATGTATGGACAGGCATGGCTTTAATCAGGCTGACAGTGAAAATTAAAGTAGTATTGCTAGCTGCTATGTTTGTGCTTTGGAGTTGGAATAGTCAGGTATGTTCAGAGTCACTGTTGGTGAAATTACTTGTGCCACTCACTTGGTCTGGAGTCTGCCAAATATTAAAACACAAAAAAATTGTGCGTACCTGAAGCTACATCATTCTAGTCTGGTAAATTTCCACTTGGCCTGTGGGCATGCAGAAAGGAAGATGTGCTGATAGCTTTCTTGCATTTGTTTCCCCTGCTGATACACTGTGGTCTCTTTCTCAGGCTTTAAAAGAAATCAATGAAGTTGGGGACCTTTTGCAACTTAAATATTCCCGTCACCGTTTGGTACCTCTCTTGGACCGGCCGTTTGATGAGACTACATATGAAGAAACAGAAGACTGATCTCCCTCCATATGCCTTGGTGGGAGGGACATACCCCCGTGGGACACTCTGTGGCATGCAAGCCACAGTCTGTGAACAACACACTTCTGACTGCTTAGTGTAAAAGACATTTCCTCTCAATACTGAAGTGGCCACCATCAACTCTAAATGGCATTTTGTAAATAGAGAGAGGAGAAGGAGGAAAAAAAAAAAAAGCTTTGATTCATGTGTCTTCAGGGTCTGGCCCTAGAGGTGCTTGGCTTTATTTCTTCACGTTGCTTTTTTTATTTATTTGTCTCAATAAGTTCACAGCAATCCACGTTGGCTGTGACTGATGAGCTCAGTTTTTGTATGCACCAATAGCCTCCCAGATGCTGGCTGAGATGTTGTGAGCATGTGTGATGCTGGCATGGCAGCATTTCCAGTGTCACTGCTACATGTCTGACCTTGTAGTAAGGGGTGAGCTGACCTGTCTGTTGATTGGAGACTTCCTAGAGAAACTGTTGATTGCTAACTTTGACATATTTAACAAGACTGATAATCAACCAAAGCTTTTTTCTTTTGCTGTTACTTGCTTAAAACTTGAATATAGCATTTTTTAAAATAAATGTGTTGCTGACGCATCACTGACAGGACCATTGTTCCCAAACATTATTTAGTTTTACAAGTCTCAGGCAGTAAGACTTCTGAGACTCCAACTACTTTTCCTTCCCAGTATGGATACCAGATTGTCTCCTGGGTTTGACAATAATTATCCTCTTCAAATAGGGTAAGTGGTGGAGAGATTGTATTGTTGCTAGTGAATTTTAAAATGGGGATGATTCGTCTTTTGTCTGACATACTTCTGTGGCGTTTTGTTTTGTTTTTTAAGCTGGTCTTAATGTGTATTGCTTTCTTGATTTCTCATCTTCACATTTCTTTGTCTTTGCTTTAGAACTAGTATGAAACCACAAACAAGCATATCTAGTAGCTGCTAGGTTCTGGAAAGATGTTCTTGGAATTAAGTAAACTATAGCAAGTGTTCTGCTGCTTGTTAAGTCTAGGACCTCTGAATAATCAGACTTACATGATGGATTGGAACTACTTATCTCATACAGGTCTGTGAAAGAATGATTGCTACCTTCTGCCACACTAATTCACTGTTTCTTGTCATGTATGGGATTTTCTTGTTGTGCAAGGCTTTTATGCAGAGAGTATGAACAGCCTGGATCTGTATCAAAATGCTTCAGCTGGCCAGCAAAGTCTCGGTTGGTAGCTGCATATCATGTCTATGTAGGCCTTCCCTGAAAAGCAAATGTCTTCACAATTGCGATTAGTTTGAGATGGTTTTTTTTTTTGTATTTCTGTTACTGTGACATCAAATCAGTGTTCACTGAGCCAATTGCTGTTAATCTTTTCTTTCCAAATTCCACACTGTCCTACTCTGATCGAAGTTTTGAATAGCCTCCTTTGCTTTAGCACACCTAGGAGATGGACTATATCATAGTCATTGTGTCTTGAGTTTTTTCAGTAAGCAAAATGGATTGCTTAAGTGATACCAAAAAATGTTATGAGCAGGATCAGTTGCAGGATAGTTCTTGGTGTGTTTTGTTTTTTCCTTTTTACATACTCCTTCCTCCTTCCAGGCATACAGATTATCTGCAAAAATACTAGTGCTTTAACATTGCATAATTTGGGTTTGGGTTAGCATGATGTTCTTTGCAGAAGTTTTTAAACAAATTCTTCATCTTAAAGTTAAAGCAAACTGCAGTCCAAAGTAATGTGGTGTTTATATAAGTTATTTTATGTTCCTTCTTGCAAGTAACAGGGAAAGAGCTCTTTGGTCCCCGGAACCAAGCAGTTCCACGAGTACATATTGTTGATTAAAGCAGAATTGGTTTCTCTTTTACGCAATATCTTCACATCTTTGTAGATCTTTTTAATATAGCTAAAATTAGAAACATCGTTTTGACTTCTACCATTGCATTTCATAAATTTAATTAGATGAGAATTAAAACTGCTATCAGAATAGGTTTGGGTTAACCATTTCTGTTTCAGTCCCCTAATGCTGATTTGCTGGCCTTCTGGAGCAAGGTGTGTGCAACCCAAGAAGTCTGTAACCTGCATGTGCAGCCTTGCTAGCTATGAAGTAATCTCATTTGTTCAGACACAGAGTAAACTGCAGTTACGTGAGCTTACTTTAACATTCGACCTTCTTCACCTGCATTCTGCCCAGGACAAGCTCTGACATTCCAGCAGATGACCTGCTTTCTGACTTGAAGCAGCTTTACCTCAAAGAATTGTTCTTTTCCTTTCTTGTTTGTAGCAGGGAACAAGAGGAGGTTGGTGCAGGAATCCCCATTCCTGACTCCACTCCTGATACTGTTGACAAAATGGAACAGCTTGAGCTGACAAAACCAGCTGACTCAGAGACATAGGCCATGGATCAGTGGGGAGCTGTTGAGCCTTCTGAGATGTACAGCATGCTTGTATCTGCAGTGTGGTCAGCCAATTTGAACTCTGTGCTGTGTTAAATTAGAGATGGTAATAGCAGACAGTATAAGTCTCCAGTCTTAATCTTGTTCCTGAAATTCAGTTTTAGGGCAACTTATTTTTGGACAGGAGGAAAATGGCTAAATAAATTTCAATAATCCAAATAACTCCTATGTAATGGGTCTGGAACTGTCAGTGTTTTAAAGTTATAAATCACCATGTTGGAATTCCTGTTGTGCTTGTCCCAGTTGTACTTGTTTGAGGAGATGGTGTTCATGCTAAACTTCAGCCTTTAAGTATTTTTCTTCTGTGTTACGCTGTCTGCATAGGACTTTGAATTCCAGGTTTCAAAGACATTTTGGGAATCATCCAGGCCATTAGTAGCATTTGCAAACTAACTACTTGGTCACATTTCTTTGCCATGTCCTTTTGGAAAAGCAACATTTCCAACCTTAACATCGCCAGAAGGCGGTTATTTAGGGGAACCTGCTTTGCCGAACTCTGGTACCTCATAAAACTACTCCTGAAAATGAATATTTCTAACAATGGAGCTTTTTTGTGTAAACAATTCACCGAGCTTGAAAGCCAAGAAAATCATTTCATACCTGTTGAAACACTCTGCTCCCACAGGTGAAGGAGCAGACCACTGCTGGTTTGTGGTAGGTAAGCCTATAGCATGCACACTGTCACTGTGGTGTACGGGGAGGACTGCTGATCTGATGTTTATGTACTGACGAGAAATCCGTCTCCATTCATTTCTACTGTTAGGACGAAAGGAAAGAACCAATCTTGAGAGATCACAAAGAAAAGCTACTTGAGAAATAGACTCCAGTCCCTGCCAACTTCTTTGAGACATTCTAATTGAAAATGACTCTTGGTATTTCTTAAGAGGGACAAAATTCAAAGGAAAATGAAAGCTACTTTTGAACAAAGGATTTTGCCCTGTACTGTACATTGTCTAAACTTATTCATAAATATACAGTAGTTACTTTCCCCATGCCTCTCTAAAGAACTTAGCAAGAAAGAGTTTGCCTCTGCTGAGCTGGGTGATAGAAGTTCAGAAGACTTTAGAAGCTGCTGATTGTATTCTTTTAAGAAAATAGACACTCTTATTTCCCATCAGTGAAGAGTGTGAGATCTGATGCTTGTTAAAATCTGGCCTTTGCAAATCAGAGACCTTTGTCTTGAGGAGCCTGATTTGTGTTTTTTCTAATTTTTTTTTAGTTCTTTGGCAGAGTGGAAACAAAGTAGGGTGGGTTTTTTTCTGTTTGTGTTTGTAACAAAATATTCAGGGCTGCTTTTTTTAATTGCTTTTGGTTTTTTTTTTTTTACACAAGATGTGAACTCATGTATAATATATGTATACGGTGTATTTAACTTTCAGTTTCTGTGTTTTTTTCCTTTTGAAATAGCATCTTTAAAACTATTTTGGTTCTTGGTTTGGTGGTGTAGTATGCTTGTGCTTTAGGCAAAATCTCAGGAGTGAACCAACCAAGCATCTTAAGGTGATTAAGTCATTTAGTGAAGGAATCACATCATCTGTCCTCTTTTGCTGTCTCTTTAAAAAATGTAGAAGTGGAACCTGCTGCACCTTCAAATAGAATAGGAAAGGGGAGTGTTCCAGTGAAATCAGTGATCCAGCCCTGTGCTGTGTGGATGAAGGAAATCTGACTTCCTGATACAGCAGGGGTGGAGAAGGGGGTAGTTGGTCGTCAGTAATTCTCAGTGTGCAGGGATTTTTCATGAGTACTGGAACAAGGATCCTTAAGGTAGGAATGCAACTTCAGTGCCCCAGAGGGATACTTCTCTAAAACTTTTCCGTGCCAAGTAATCAAATACTTTTCCTGCGCAAATATTTATTTCTTTACCTTCAAAACATCCTTTACTTATACCTGTCTTCTCACCAGAAGCAATATGATCTATTCAGGCAGATCATAGGAGAGGTTAGAGAAAAGCTGTGAGCGTGAGCTGTGTGCTTCTTCTGAGACAACATCTTGCAGCATTGTATTTGGAATGCATGAGCTCCCTCAATTCATCACAGAATGGAACTTGTGCAGATTTACTCTGCACTGAGTAAATTGCTTAGTGAAAATGGCTGCAGTTCGTATGCAGCCTGTGAAAGCCAAGCTCGCCGGGATCTCTGTGGCTTGCAGCTTGTTTGGAGCTCAGAGGTAGTGGTGTTCTTTTCTAATGGTGGTGAAGCAGTGAGCTATCAGTGAATGCCTCATACTCATGCCTCAGCAGGGGAATTGCTGGCTTCAGAGCTGGTGTTGGACACCAGTTGGGAAAGCACCAAAGTTTGTCTCTCAAAGTTTTAAGAGGAGGAAAACAAAACCCAGAGCCTCATATGTCACTGTGATAGTTTGTGTTCCTGCAAGCATTCCCTGTCTCACAAGTTGTCTGTTTAAGGGTTGGGTTGTGAATTTAGAGCGCAGCCATGTTTGTGTGAGTGCTGTGCTTTATCTGTGACAGAGGAGAGGTGTTTGGTGCAGACACTGTTTACATCCCCGGAAGGGGTGGGTGTAGGAGTTGATGACTGTGTGTTGAAGGCCTTAAACTGTGACTCTTGGTATGAAGAAGTAAAATTAAAACTGACCTTGGAAGATGCAGTGGATTTTAACCCGTGTAAGAATACTCTGTGCTCTTAGCTAAGCAATATGTGCTCCTGTTTCCTTGTGAGGGGAAAGGGCCAGCTCTGCTTTCTGAGCCCAGGCAGCAGCTGTTAAGGAGCAGGGAGGTGCATATTTAAGGCCAAAAACAGTGCAGCTCTGCACTGATGTTCCTATGTAGTAAACATTGGTGACTGGCCCTGGGCCGCTGCGAGCATGAGGATAACTGAGAGGGTTGGAGATGTCAGCAGCAGCGGCAGCTAGCAACGATTGCAGCAGGAGGTGACTGGGTCTCACCTGAGTATGTCACAGGTTGGTGTAATTCCAGAAATACCCTCGGTGATGTAAAATGTGCACCAGAGCAGCTGGTTTTTATTTTTATTTGCCAAATCTCATGCTGTCCAGACAGCGTTTCTGCTACCCCCTACCGGTTTACTGAGCTAACTACAGCCCCAGCCTTCCGCTGTCGGAACAGCGAGAGGTGAGCAGCACTGGAGCCTGAGGCTCTGGGCCATCAGCCCGAAGCCAATGGTGGCCCACGT